CTTTACCTACAAAAGTATAGAAGTAAGAAATTCGTTAAGTGCTGGTTAATCACGCCATTTGCAACAATACATTCAGGTACGCGAAGGCCATTCTCATCACCTGGAACAAAGTTTCGTGACTTTTCAAAATGAAGTGAACACTGTTAGATGTAGGCAATAATGCGACTTACGTCACCAAACGTGTGAATAGACATCTGAATTATCTTCCCTGCAGTCATTTCAATGACCACGCTCGATCGTGCGATGATCAAAATCAAGTCGAGCATTTTTCTCACGGGTAAATAGTACCAGTTTGTCATGTAAACTATCTCACCGACTTTCATACACTGTCAACAATTCATTCGATTAATCGTCGATTCTAGGTTGATAGGCATCTTCGCAGTAAAGAGTCTGTGGTACCTGTTCTGTTAGCAGTTCACCGATATAACACAATACAAATGTATTGAAAGTCACCGATGAAAATATTATGAAGTACGTAATGAGGCTTCGAGCATCGTGGTTCTCCCATTCCTAGAAAGAAATCGTTCCGAAAATGACTCGAAATTTGATTGAAATCGAATCTGAGGTTTGATGTTTTCGTGCGGAATTGAAAGATACAGTGATGAGAGGAATGTGAATAGTTCTTCTAATTATATTCTATAGAGAATGAAGACTGAGTCTTTCTTCGATTACGTTTAGGTAGAAATTGTTGAATTTACAAAAAGAAAAAAAAAAAAAAAGAAAAAGGATTCAGTTCGAATGACGAGTGTTTGTGAGGTGTCAAATATGAACCTATTTTCACATGTATGATATATGATATACAGGGTATTCCACCTTTTTGGATGAAACGTTCGTTAGTACTTTCTGTTCTCCCTTCACATTTCGTATTTTTTAAACAACTCTTTCTTGAAAAGTTCTCACATTCTCTCTGTTCGTTCATATTGAGAGTACCTGTTTCAAAAAGCTGGTGCTCCCTGTACATTCAAATACATACTTTATATCGTGCTGCTCAACGTCGGTTGAACAAATATTACAATAAACATTACGCGTATCTCATATTCTGTTACCATAACCGTGTAATATCCAAGCATAGATATAGCAAATATGCATCTAAACAACTCCGTCATGCATACCCAGCTCATGATATCTTCTATGCGTGCTACAAAACTGTAATCAATACCAATATTGAACGATCACTCTCAGTCTAACCATCTCAGTCGATGAAAATGCCAAAAAAAGAAAAGATCATACTCCAGTATTCTCAGATGATGTTGCACGATCATTTCGATTCTTGTGAAGGGACCGCCCTTCTTTTTGTCCTCAGACTCGTTCACGTAGTCGTTGATCCAAATCGCCAGCACGTTCAATTGGCCGCAAGTGTGGGCGGCTAAAACAGTCGCGAGGGTGTAGAACCCAATGCCGCCGGAGTCGGAGATGAGAGCTGAGAAGAACTGCATCACGAGGACTATCTCGTTGGCGGGGCTGGTTTCCACTGGAATCA